TTAGCGCCAACGCACTCTGCGGTTGTCATTCGGGGTTTGTCGACTCATATTTTCATTCACTGTGTTTATATGATAAACAAAATAATACATGGTTGCTATCGAGTTAAACACTCGAAGAGAAATTCCATATTTACGCGCGCCCATGTAATATTCTCTATGTATTTCCCAAGTACTTTTGAGTAAGCTTATTTTCAATATTTTTCTTGCTCATTAATTTTTTAGGACTTCATCAGCTTTCCCATACTCCCTCGGACTTGTCCAATAACCCGCCCTTTTACTTAATTCTTTTTCAATTAAAATGCTCACCATATTTTCGCAGGTGTCATAGATCTGTTATTCTTCATATGGCTGGTCGACAAGCTTCGTTTTTTACCGCGCTGTTTTTAATTTCTCTCATGTTCCGTGGCATTGCTTGTCAACAATGTCACGGAATAAACTCGATTTATCAAATGATGCTTAAAGGCCATACCTATAAGACGTTCAAGACTACACCAGGTACGCCCGAATGCAGAGACATTTGTCTCGCTGATGACAGATGTCAAAGCTTTAATGTCGTCATGTTCATTGCAATCTGTGAGTTAAACAACCGAACTAAAGAGGCCAGACCAGAGGACTTTGTCAAGGACGAGTATAGATATTACATGGCGAAAGGTCCAAAACGAGGTAATTGAACTTGTAAATATAAATTAGTAGGGTGCGCTTATTTCAGCTAAAGTGGTCCATTACCATTTTAGTTCCTTTGGGATCAAGGCGTGAGCTGCCTGCTGAATCGTGCAAGGAAATCAAGGCGAGTGAAGGAGAACAAGCAGTTAGCGGTAATTATTGGTTGGATTCTACAAGATCTGGGAACTCTATTTTAGCTCGCTGCGACATGAAGACAAAAGGTTGGTACAAGACATTTTCCATGGCTATTTGCCTTCGTGCTAATGAAAGGCCTTCTCTTAATCGTTTTCTTTTTAACTAGTTGCAGACTATTGTGTCAAGCACCAATGCCAAAACGATGCAAAGTGTGTGAACCGTGAAACCAACTACTCGTGCGCATGTAACTCATCTGGTTGGACAGGAAAATATTGTGAAAAAGGTTTTTCTTTTGTTGAAAAAGTTTCTGCCGAAGTTCATGCAGAACAAATTCGATGAAGGAACTTCATTAAACTAACATATGCTTATCCGTAGATATCAACGAATGTAAGGAAGGCCGGCATGGTTGTCATGTAAATGCCATTTGTAACAACACTGAGGGCTCTTACAACTGTAAATGCAAACCGGGACTTAATGGAGACGGACAAAACAGCTGCAAAGGTAAGGTTGTTATTGTCATTTTCATTATCATTATCATCTGATTAGAATCCTTTACGGCCCCTTTGCCTTTGGCCGACTGAACGAAACCAGGGGATACGGAGGGTGGTGTCCTCTTAGTACAACTGATAGAACAGACTATCTTCAAGTTGATATGGGCGTAGTGCGTTCTGTTTGTGCTGTGGCCACACAAGGAGAAAAGGCGAGAGATGAATGGACCACTAGCTACAGACTACAATTATCTACAAACAATATAACTTGGAACACTTACAAGGAAACGAATATTGAAAAGGTATGGAGAGAACTGTTATTGACATTTTAATATCAGCAATTAAAAAAGAGTTTGAAGCCAATGCAAATAATTAGCAAACAGAAATACATTTAGATGCTGAATTTGGATGTGTAACTCCATTGGCTACTGCAGCAGAAAATGTCGTCGGAGATGACAAGCTTGTGTAGTATGACGAGTTTGCTTGAAAATTCTGAAAGGCATCTGATGCGTCTTTTATGGAATGGTTCAAAGACTTAAGAAAGTGTAGTTTATCTATTCTTTCGTGTGCTGCATGAGGTCGAAGAGATTTAGAAATTAGTCGCGCAATGTACTGCTAAGACTTTTCCATCCAGGATATATTAACTAAAGCATTTCGCATGAAATTGTTTTCCCGATTTCGTGAGACAGGAAGTCTCCGTTCCGTCTCTTATTCTGTCCCTAACCTTGTCTTTGTCGTGGATTCATATGACTTTGTTTCGTTTTTGTTTTGTTTTGTTTTGTTTTTTTGTTCGTAAATCATGATAGTGACATAATATGTGCATGCTGCAAACAATAGCTTAAATGTTAGCAACATTTATATCCGGGAAAAGACTCAACAACAGCCGTCTTGCAGCTCAATAAAGGAAAAAATCGTGTCACCTTGACCATCTACTTCTGGCTATCGGATGATGAGTAATAAAAAAATCCATAATAAAAAAAGGGTGAAAAAAGTGACGGAAAAATGAACACCGTTTGGAAAGGCTGGGCCGCAATGCAATAGAAGACAAAGTTGCGTGAGAGATGTGAGCAGTTAAGACCTGTTCAAATGGCCCCCACACCTCCCCTCCCCCTCCTCCCAGCGCCTCCTTACTTAACTGTATATAGAATTGGTGCACCATACCAAGTTGTTCAATTTCTTTGTTTTGTTTTGTTTTTTGTTTTTTTACAGGTGTTCACAGGAAACTCAGATCGGACCAGTATCGTGAAGCATTCACTCAGAACTGACTTCAAAGCCAGATACGTTCGGTTTTATCCTGTAAAATATAATCGTTGGCCATGTTTGAGGGTTGAGATATTTGTGCTTAAGTAATACGGTAAAGAGTTCGTATGTGTGTAGTTGTGCATCAACATAAAAACAGAAGGAGAAAAAGAATACAAACAGTCTTAAAGTAGGAAAACAAACATTTGCAAGTAAACTAATAAACTTATTCAGTTAACAAACTAATCATTCCCAGGGGCGGATCCAGGATGTTTCGAAGGAGTGGGTGCACCACAAAGGAATCACCTAACTGACGTGTCCTCTGACGAACAGAGGGTCTGATAGTTCACACAGTTTTGTTTTTCATATTATTATTTTGCACAATACTATTTATATAGGAAAGCGGCTGGTTATCTTATCCTGTAACATACCATAATTGGCCATGTTTGAGAGTTGAAATATTTGAGCTTAAGTAATACGTTAAAGGGTTCGTATATGTGTAGACATTCATTAACACAAAAACAGGAGAAAAACTGACGAACCTCTCCTCTGACCAACATAAGGGCTGACGCTCGAAAAGTCAACGCCAACCTATCATTTTGACCGCATTTAACATAAATTCTCTAACCTCGTGTTCTATTTCAATGCCAATAATTCACACAGTTTTTTTTTTCATTTTATCATCATTATTTGTTTTTCTTATTTTGCACAACACTAGTTATTTAATAAAGTTGCCGGTCATCTTAGGGGAAGATGGGTGTGCACCCCTGCACCTTCCCTTAGATCCGCCCCTGGCTACATTCATTTCGTTACAGTAAAATAAAACAGTTATTCAGAATAAAGGTAAAATGGAAAATGTATTCCAGATCTCCACTGAAAGATATGTGAGCTCACTGTTGCTTCTTCATTAAGCGTTATGATTAGCTGCTATCGGTGTTAGTTTTCTTTTCTGATAAGTTAATGCTTTGTGAAAATAAAATTTAGAGATACTGTAAAATCGAGATTCCTGAGGCATGGATACCTGCAACTTAAAAACAGAGTGCTCATCCAAAAACAAAGCAGATCTGTAGGAGAACAACATCAACCCGTCAAACATGCGTGAACCAATAGGAGTACGCTAAAACAAACCAAGAGCAGCTCCCTATGCCACATTAATAGCCATGGGTGACTATTCAACATCACTACATAGTGAAGAAAAGTAGTAAAGCTGTCGCACGAACGCGATTTACAGATGATAGTTTGACTCCTAAAATGATAGATTCGCTTTTTAAGGAGAAAAAAGTTTTCATGTCCATTTAGTACTTAGGATCTGTTTTTCAAGCACTCGCTGCTATTAATAGCTGAATCCACCAAAATGATCTTTAAACCTCTTTGGTATTTGATTCATGAAATGAAAGATTAATTAATCGCATCAGATAATTTATTTGAACTGTTACACAGACACCGGTGTGTTAGGTAGTTAAGAAGGAATTAAAGTTGCAATAAACAACAGTAATTCAACTTCTATGATTTTTTTTGTGTGTCCCACTCACAAAAGAATTTGAAAAAAAAGGCATAGTAACGGTTACTACGCCTTTTTTTTCAAATTCCAGTCGAACCACAACAGCTTCGATGGAAAACAACCGTCAAGTTTGATCGTGATACAAAACTTGATCGGCGATCACTGATATTCTGACAACGCCCCCCTCACCCCAACCCCGGTAAGGTAGATTTTCATTCCTCCAACAGTCAGCGGAATAGGGTCCGCATTCGTTTCCATCTCGTGGTGGCCCTTATGTTGCGCAGCTTATTCCTTTGCTAAGAAAGCAAAATATCACTACCTTTTCTTCCTTATTACAGGTTATGGAAGATTTAATGAGATTCAAAAAGTGTGAGTGTAGATTCGAGTAGATTCAAAGGTGTGCGTCTCACGAAAGGTATTGATAAACATTAACCTTAATTCTTGTGAAAACAATTTCTCGACTCCATCGGCAAACCAAAAGATTACAGTATAATTTTGACAAACTTGGCGACTAGGGACCAAGTGATTGAAAGGCAACTACTGTACATTAAGCTTATTCCCTCTAGATGGAAAAGTCTTGGTTTAAACCCGATCCAGGTCATAACTTGTGTGTTATGTCTTGTGTTTCTAGATAAAATTTCGTTACTAAGTCACACAACGCGCCCCCGACCTAGGTCGGTTGATATCATGGGGAAAGAGAAACTGTCCGGAAAGCTTCACGGAATACGGGAGGTTAAATATGATACATTAGCGAACTGTACTGGAGAATTCTTCAGGCTAGGAATCTTAACCATGCAGTCTGTCTCACTATTAAATTGATCGCCCCCGTTCAATCAAATCAATAACTTTTAAAAAGCAGATCATACTAGACAACCGAGACAAACGTAGCGTCCCTTATTTATGACGTCTTTCTAGCTATCAAATAACGGTCTGGCTTACTGACCTTAATCTAAATTTAAATTTAGGCAGTGTGAGGTTACTGTAACATGCTACGAAAGCTGTTTTCGAGAAAGTTCGATCATTCAGCTCTCGTAATGTCTCTTAAAGAGCGTACTTTCCCAATGAGCCCCGGCACAGTTCTAAGCGTTTTCTGTTTGCTTCTTTACTTCGCTGGATTCATTCGAAACGAGTCTAAATTCAATGAGTATGAACGAAGGTTGAAAACTGTTGAGGAATTCATACCTCAAGATAAAATGACACAAGCGAGGACGGATTTCCCTCCCTCTGAACAAGGTAATGTCCGACTGTCTTTATTTCAATTGCTACATGGTTGTCTGTTTTGTGGCTGGTCGTGCTCCTTTAAAGTTATTTATGTAAGTTGCAAGTTACTCTAAACTGTTAGGGGTTTAAGCTTTTGATAAAAAGTACTCAAGAGCTAATGGTCATGTCTTCCGACTTCCGTTTTAGCACAACAGATATGAACGAGACTTATTTGTCTTATTTTCTTTTCACTGAGATATCAACATTACCGTATATCTAACGACGTAGATTAAAAGCTAACGATATGGACGACTCTTGTTTTACATGATGTCCATTCTCTCGTTTTCTTTACAAAATAATTTGGAGACTTGCCAAGGAGTAAAACGCAGAGGTTTTCAAGGTAAACAATACACTCTTTTTAAATGGCGACATTAAAATCGATGTGTTGCCCACTGCTTGGTCAACAAGAAACAAAAGCTTTCTCCTAAGTCTCTTGGTGAGCAAGAAAGCAAATCTCTTCGTCGAGACTCTTGTAAACCTAAGCCTTAAAATATTGATTTAACCTCTCCTCATGCTCGAAATGATAATATTTGTGGAGAAATCAAATCAAGAGATAAACACGAGCCATTTGACGAGGGGTTAAATTTAAATTTCTCTAACGTCACTTTTGATAACTGGAAAAGATTTCTGTCCTCGCTACGGTCAAATTGTCCTTTCCTTCTTGTGTTTGCAGTTGAACTTGGATCGTTATCGTGTTATTTGAGATGGCAATGAAGGGTCTAATTAGGTTACTCTCCTTTTTTATTGATATATTTGATATATTTTCAGTCATACAAACCACCTCTGCCGAGCTTGAAATCCATCGACTGAAGCGTAGTATTTCACATCCACCCCCTTTAAATAAGTCGGCTGAGATGAGGAAAATGATAGAGGACATCGTTTATTCCGCTTGGAAGATTTGCCACAACAAAGCTGGTCTGAATGTTTGTCCTCGTGGCCGGCCGGGACCTCCAGGGAGAGCTGGACCCAAAGGTGACAAGGGAAGAAAAGGAAGAAAAGGATCCCAGGGAAGCATGGGACCACCGGGAAGAAGCGGAAAACAAGGAACCATGGGACCACCGGGGATAAGAGGACAGAATGGAATAAAAGGAGACATCGGGCCACCGGGTATCCCTGGTATCCCAGGGACTAAAGGTGAACCTGGAGAGTCCATCTCAACCCCAAAAGTAACAATTTCTCCACCGAAACTAGTCGTCAACGAAAGCAAAATAGCCTCGTTCTTATGCTCTGCTTCGGGAAACCCTGCGGCTCAAATGTTCTGGTCGAAGGTCAATGGATCTTTTCAAAGCAACAGGATCAAAGTGACGTCAAATGGTCTGATGCAGATCTCTGGTGTCCGGATGGAAGATGCAGGCGCCTACAAATGCCTAACGCGAAATATTCTTGGAGAGGATGAAAAAACTGCCATTCTCGTCGTTCAGAGTAGGTCTAAATATTCCATCTTATGTCCACATGATTCCTACGCCTCTGAAGTTTGAAAAAAATTGTCTTTTATTGATGTTTTTCCTAGGGCAGCTCGAGGGATACAAAATTCTGGGGTTCAACAGTATATAAAATTTTAAAGTTGTTGTGAGCAAAATATTAGAATCAGATAAAACTTAAAAAAATAAAGCTCTAAAGATGGACAAGATTTTAGTATGGGAGCCACACAAGCGACAGTAGCTATCTTAATTCTATATAATAATGTTTATCCCATTCATATACAGGTAAACCTACCATTTCACTCTCCTTCGGTCCAACGTATGTAGAGAAGGGCAAGAACGTCACTTTACCAAAATGTCATGTGACAAGTTTTCCTCCGGCAATCATCACGTGGTCTAAAGGGCGCGGTGAACTTGCGCATTCCAGAACAGTTGTGAAAGACGGAGAGCTGTCAATTATCAGTGCTCAAAATGAAGATTCTTATTTGTATGAATGCAAAGCCTCCAATATTCTAGGCCATGACTCAGCTTTGACAAATCTTGTTGTCTGGGATCTGCCCCGTTTTACAGTCAATCCACCTGCAAAGCTTGATGTAGGAAAAGACAGAAATATTTCAGTTCCTTGTCAGGCCGCTGGTGACCCTCAACCAATAATCACGTGGGTTAAAGAGAACGATGATTTGCCAGTCGGAAGATCGCAAGTCAGTGTGGATGGAACACTTCAGATATGGAATATTAAAGATGAAGACTCGGGCATATATATCTGTACAGCCACATCAGCACAACTGTTCAAAACGTCTTCTTCAATGCAACTGACCCTTGGGAAAGGTGAGGAATGGCTTTATTCAACATTTTATTTGTTACACAAAGATCTATAAATTCCTTCAAGAATTAAGAGAAATCTGAAGAAATATATGTTTAAGGTAAAAGTGACTGTATTCTGGGCGGATTTCATAATCAGAGTCTATTGTTGGGTTATTTGACTACGAGGAGTATATGGAAAATGATTGATCAGTTTGGTTGTAATGTTCTTGTCTTAAAGACTCCTATCAAGTATACGAATGGTGATTGGTTGGTTTAAAGCATCTGGAAAGCTTTTGGGACAAGATTTCAACCTAGAGCAATATTCTGCAAAATTTCAGCTTACTAGAATTGCATCTGAAATGTTTTGGAGAAAATTATTTTAACATGGAGCAATATCCTGCAGAATTTTAGCTCATTAGAATTGGGTTAATGTGCTTTACAACTACGGTCTTAATAAACCATAGCTTGCAAAGTTTTTAAGACAAGCAATTAAACATTTTGATGATTGCAGCGGATTGAATATAAATTAATTCCTTGGGCTGTTTTGTCCTTTTTTTAGTTTTTCTTGTTACTTAACTCAAACATTAAAGTTATTAAATCAGTATTAGCTGGCAATTGCTCATTAAATTTCCTATCGGCTTAACTACCTCGCTAATGCATTAAAGTTAATATTTGCTACGATTTTATTCTCGACAGAGGAACCTGATATTTTCGAAAATTGAAAGGCAATGAGAGAAAAGGAACATTGAAAAAATCCAATAAAGCAAACAAAGAAATAAACAAACAAACAATAGAAGGGCAAGAAAAAAAGTTTATTTGAGTCAGGAATCTACTTTCGTAAATTTTTATGCTCATGCAAGGCCCTGTATTACTTATATTTATTTAGTATGTAAGTCAGTTGGTGTGGCGGACAGGAACAGAATACCAGATGCTAGAATGACAGCGAGCAGTTTTCACAATACAGACTATTATCCATACTATGGCCGACTCCATGAAAACAGGAGGAGCGGAGCGTGGTGTGCAAAGACTAGCTCTGTTGGAACAGAGTATCTTCAAGTTGATTTGGGTACAGTGCTCGATGTTTGTGCTTTGGCCACACAAGGAAACCAGAAAGAAGGTCAGCGAACCACCACCTACAAAGTTCACATGTCCACAGACGGTATAAACTGGAACACTTACAAAGAACAAAGTATTGAAAAGGTATGGAAAGAGTAGTGCCGTAATGATTCGATTTGGCGTCCGCTATTCCAATTAGCGACCCTATTCTGTTTTGGTGATAGCGCTGTTAAAGTACATTTCCATTAAGATTTGTCATGGTTCATATTCCTTTGATTGCTTACTGAAAGCTTTATTACAAAAACAGTGGTCTTCGTCTCCGTCTCTCAACTGTTACATCCACATGAGTGTAGAGTCCTTTCCAACGAATCATCTCGTCTTAAAATTTTGCGACGCTTGCTTGGCTGGTCGTTCCCACCAAGAAGGATCCAGGGACAACAAGTCCGTTTTCAAGTCTTCTTGGTCCTTTTTAAATAAACATCAAAGCTTTGCTTTGCACATTCTGCTTTTTTTCGAAAAACTAATATGTGCACTGTCCCTAATAAGCGCCCTGCAACGAATGAGCGTTTTCCCTTGAGGCACTAAAAGTAGATAAGCGCCAAAGGCGCTGAATCGAATCATTACCGTAACTAAAGAGCTACAGAAATTCTTCTCTCTCTTTTTGTTAACATAATATCAATTAGTTTAAAATGATTGAGATAAAATATGCAACCTTGTATATTTTAACCAATAAATATTCCATGAAAGTTAATAAAGTGTAACATCATGTTGTGTCGTCTACGCTTTTCAAGAGGGAAAGGCTTTATCGACCAATGTCTATCTTATCTTCTGCTTCTGCTTTTGTCTTTATCCTTGATTCTGTTTTGTTTGATTTTGGCTTTTTTTGTTTTGCAGATTATGATTATGATTATGATATTTACCACTGAGTAAGAAACAAATCAATTTGGAAAAAATTAAAATTACAAATTAAAAAAAAAGAAACGGAAATTTAATTCCGTTCTGGGGTGCCGAACCCCGATTTAACGAGACCGGGCGATTTTGATGCGAGCCTGGACGCCAGTTTCGTTTCCACACCGGGTTAACAAACCAAGTTTAAAATAAACTACGGGGGCGAACAATTAAAACCGTTCGGTAGAGTATAACAGAGAGTTGTCAAAAAAGAATACGAGCTTTAGTTGAACTGGTTTATTTCTCTTTGCTTTATTTCAGGTGTTCCAAGGAAACTCAGACCACAGCAACATCGTGAAGCATTCACTCAGAAATGAATTCAAAGCCAGATACGTTCGGTTCTATCCTGTCACATACTATAGCTGGCCATGTTTGAGGGTTGAAATATTTGTGCTAGAATAATAGGTCAAGATCTATTCATCCAACAGCACTAAAACTAACAGGAAACGGTCAGTTTGATGTAAAAAAAAGTTCATGCACGGAGTCCACAGTAGCCGGGAAAACAATTAATAAAATTCTTCCAAGCAAATAAACTAACAAACGTTTTTTAAGTGAATTTTCAACAGATCAGTAATTCATAATGAATTATATAACGAATATAGTGAATTACATGAAAATCTTCTTTTTTAATTTCATCAATCTGTTTACGTTAAGCCACATATATCCAAAGGCAATCCAGCTGGGTCAATAGAAAAAGTAATTTTGGGAAGAAACGACACAAAACAGTAAAATGATGTAAACCGTACGAATAAATGAATTAATTTTTAAAATATCTCATGATTGTCATGATTAAACATGCACGCAATTTACTGGTTGACAACACTAAAAGTCACAAGAATTCCCCAAGCATTTCAACTCGATATGGTTCCCTGCCGCTCCGGGCATCAGAAATGACTGTCATTACTACTCAGAGGTCGCTATTCATTCTAAAGTACGCTCCCCCCCAAAAAAAAAAAAATGACGAAAAAACAAAAAAATCAAAGAAAAAAAAACATATTGTTCATACCATTACAACGTTTACTGCAGTCGGCTCTCACTTTAAGCATTTTATCTCTTCACGCACCCTCTCTGACCTCATCTAACACTGAGGACGAAAGAACATTGTCTCTCGTGTACAAGTATGAGGGAATTTTCTGTTTTTGGCCGGAGAAGGACTGTGGGTTCATTCCTTATGGGGCGGTGGTTGGGTGTTTTATTTATACGTTATTGTTTGAATTTTCCTGCTGTTTTTAACCACTCGTGGGTCTCGATCACGTATCATGAACATTCGAGAACCATAGAGTAATTGTCATTTTTGTGTAACGAGCCTAGGATATAGAAAATCTGCAAGTATCCTTCGAGAAAGCGCACCCTAAAGTTTCGGTTGCGAAGTCCAATGCTCGCTCTTTAGGCGAATGGCATATGACGCCAATGGTTTTTCTGTCCTACTCTTGGTAATCACCGTGGAGAAGACATATTTTGGTTATTCTCTGTAAGTAAATCAGAGTTGAACTCTGTCATTTGCATTCACAGCTACCACAGTTTACCCAGTTCTTGATTCATATTTTGGCCTATCTCATTCACAACGCTAGTGGAACTGATCAGGCTGCGCCAAGGTTGTTTGTGACGGCTCCTTTCACTGTGGTAGTCACGTGACGATTATCAACAGAACGCGATATGTTTAGTATCTACAGTCACGCAATAAGTCACGCGTTAAGTCAGATGATTTACTCGTATCCAAGTCAATATTTTGTTGAGTAGGGAAAAATGGAAAGATTCTTGCTAAGTTAAGATACATATAGCCTCTGATGAATGTTATTTTTATTTCCAGTTAAACCTGCATCTAAATGTGATTAGCTCAGAAGAAAGATTTGATCTGAATGAAATCTTCTTCAATTGTTTTGAATATGTGCACCTGAATGTATCTTAGGGTACATTATCTTAATAGGGTGAAAAATTATATGTAATCATGCGCCCATGTACCTCAACTCTCTCCCCCACTGTACACAGTTAATAATGGTAATAGGACAATGTGGAGTCCAATTCGGTCTGCAATCAAACAAGTGATTAACAAAATCGGAAGACCGCGAAGTGGGTGTCCGATTTGTAAATCACGAGTATGATTACAGACAGAATTGATTGACACAAAGCCCTGTTACCAATTAGTCAAAACAATGACAAAATTTGAGGAAGAAACTAGACTTCTGTTATACGTTTTCATTAAAAAAAAAAAAAAAAAAAAAAAAAAGCAGTATTGATGTCTTTGGTGGAGTTACTGAACAGTGGCACATGCAGCCATGTGGAATCTTTTGGTTTACATGATTTATCATTTCTACATCTTAATTAATCCTCCAATTGATCACGTTTTTGTATTCCAGCGGCCAAATTAAGAACCTTCCAGTTTTTCTACAATATGCTCTAAGCCAGAAGTTATTATAGTGGCGCCCACACAATTAAACATTAATAAATATTTCTATGCTAACGCTAAAGAGGGAGTTCTTTCGCAATGCTTTCTCTATCTCACAAAATTTCGGTAGAAACGATAACACAACATTCTAGCTATTGAAGATAAGTGCAGTGATTTTTCTTCATGCCTCGTATATTCGTGGTTAGATTTCCTGATCATGATCTATAAATTGCTTACAAGAATTAAAGACGCTCCCGAAGTTGTTCCTCATCACCAGCTGTCGGAAAGCAGCGAAACTTATGGCACCAAACATCAATATCATATCTTTCTGAATGTGAGTCGTTTTAATGGAAAACTCAAAAAAAAATTAAAGCCGTATCAAAATAAGAAATTTCCTGTGCGCCTTGTTTAACCCAAACGGCAAAGTTTATTATAAAGGATATGGTGTTGTCTATGAAAATGGATGCACACATTTAAATTAGCGTTTGTTTTATCCTTGGGTTCAGGAACAGTGAAATTTTTTCTGAAAATTTTACGCCAATTAACAATTGGTTCATACGTCAGCGTGCGTTCATCGAGATATGAAGCACGCGGGAAGTTTGAAGAGCACGAAAGATGCGTAAGAGTTGCTCGAGGCGTAGCCGAGAGAAACTCTAGCTTCTTGAGTGCTCTTTAAATTTCCCAGGTGCTTCATATCTCGATGAACGCACAGCTGACGCATGAACCAATTGTTTTATAACATTTTCAACCCGATGGAAATTTTTTTTCTCGAGGGATATGTTTGCTGACGTCATGAGCGTGAACAATAGGAATATGAAGCACGCTCGCGCAATTGAATTTGATTAGACAAATTTACTAACTATGTTAAAATGTTATCAGTAGCACCTTTAAACGAGGCACGAGTGTGCGTTCCTTGAAGCTAAAAAATTTCAAATAGAACAGAGTACAACGTTAACATTTAACATTCTAAGAGGTAGCTATATTTGAATATTTGTCACAGTGGGAACATTTTCTGACAAATTGCATACTGTGCCAATTTCATCTACGTAGTTAGTAGTTATTTGGTGGTAAACGACTCAGGTAAATAGGGAATTAGAGATACGACTTTGGTCTCTTGTGAGCCTAATAAGACTAAACTATAAAATTGCTGCTGTACAAAAGCTACGAAATGAAGAAAAAAAAGCCTAGACTCAAATTATCAAAGAGCTAAATTTATCCATTGATGAAAGGAACTCTAAAATGTAAGCATAAATTAAGACAACAGGTGTAATTATTTTTCAAACTCTCCGATGTAAGTTGCTAAAATGTATTGCCTAAAACACGAACGGTCCAGACGAACGGATGGGATGACGAAACCAGAATTTTTTGCTTTCACACTGATTTTATAACTTGATACTCGTTGGGCTCATGCCCACGTGCATTGAAGAGGAACCCAAAAATGAATGTTAATTTTTGGAACGAACATTGGACTCAAGTTATTTAAAATTAAAGTAGCGACCATTTTGAATATTGATATGAATTTCTTTCTGTTAGATGACATTCTTGTTTTAAAGTCTCACCCGAAAAATTGAGTTTTCCAGTTATGTGTATAAGTTTATCCTTATCTTGTTTTAAACCTTGCCATTTTAGAAAAGGCGAAAATGAGCTGTGTCAGGAAAAGTTAGATGAAAAGTTGTTTTTCCAACAGACTGTAGAATATGCCTTGAAATTACAACTAGTTAGCCTATGACCAAAGTTCATCGCGGAAAACTAAGACCCACTGAAAGTGGCAGGTGTTTTAAATTGTGCAATAAGAGGAACTTTCGGAAAACAAATGTTTTCTAGAAGTTCCTGTCTGAAGAATCCCGGTCAAAGTTTTAACCATTAACCATATAAGCCATCACCCCACTGAGAACCACGCAAAGTGGTGGGTGTTTTAAAATGTGCAGTAACAGGAACTTCGGAAAACAAATGTTTTCTAAAAGTTCCTGTCGTAAGAAAACTTAAGTTTCGTCATTCAGTGTGTGAGTGATGGCTCTCATGAAAGGTATAATTAGTTCGTAACGAACTGGGATAGGGAAGCCAATTGAAAGATATAGCGGGAAAGACTTAAAATCTAAGAACACCGTTCTATTTAGGAATTTAACAGAAATCTGATCGATTACCTCGACACGAAGTTCGCGGAAGAGTCATTTGACCCGAAACTCTACTACCTTGTGGAAATTAGGAGGAAAAAAAGCAGGAAATTATTCTACGTTAATGCGACAGAAATTTGATCTGAAATAAGTCTTGACGCTTGCCTCTGAAGGTAAAAGTTGGTGAGTAAGAACAATTAAATTAATTACAGTTTTTTTAGGGATAGTTCAAATTAATTTTCAGCATTTCTCTCAACCGTGATAGAGAGAAATTAATCGTTCGCCTAAAACTCAGATGACCAATATTTGAACCGTTAGCCATACCCTCATAGTTGTGACCACGAAGAATTTGGCCTGATTTGTTTCATTTTAGCCTACATTTTGTATATTTGGCCAAACTAGGGAGGTTTTAAACTGTTGCAATTTTTAAACATGATTCTCTAAATGGATCGATACAACACCACTTTGATGGTATCAAAAGATTCCAAACTATTAATCAGCGCGTTGCAATTAGTTTTGCAGATATATAGAGTTAGAGCTTTCGAAAAATTCCTTAACCTTTCATGTCTGCAACTCAAAAACGAGTACAGCTGAGTTACAAATGACATAGCAAGATTCGTTTATCTGCTAATCGTTTAAAAGTGTCATACAATGAAGTCTTCCAATGGGTGTAATAGAAGTCTGAATAATCCCTAAGGGGTCTTAGGAGCTTAGCTTAAAAAAAAAAAAAAGCAAGAAATTAAATTATACCTGGATCTAAACGGAGTTCCATATGTTGGCAACCTTTTAATTAAAGTTAAAAACTACTTTTTATATCCTCCCAATGATATTACAAATATTCAGCCCTTCAGGGACAGACAGTGGCTAATTACATGGCAGGGGCTTATGCATTGTAAAATTTATAATTCCCTTTAAACATCATTTCAGCTTCAGTTGACTGTGGTAACCTGCGGAAGAGCTTCACGCCTCAGAAGAAGACTCATCAGAGTCAGTATAAGAAACAACGGGTATTGCTTTCCAAGTATGTGTATAAGTTTATTAATATCTAGTTTTCAATTTTGCCATTTTAGAAAAGGTGAAAAAAGGAACTACGTCAGGAAAAAGCTAAGTGAAAACGTACGCCTCCATAGTGGCATTTTATCACCCTCTTTATCCTACAGAATGCAGAATTCGCTCTCAAATTACAATAAGCTAGCCTATGACCAAAGTTCATCGCGGAAAACTAAGCACAAGTATCTTCT